CGGGGGCGCATCTCCGCCGCCACCGAATAGATTGCCGAGTGAGGGCAGTTGGCGCTTCTCAATAGCGGCGGCTTCGCATTCGGGAACGCTTCGAAGCATTTTATACGGTAGGCCTGCAGAATCTCGGTTGCCTCGTGCAGTTCAGGAGACGCGTAACGGGTCGCCAAAATATTGGACATGTCTGCAGTGAAGTCGACCATGGCGAGAATGCTTCGCCGAAGTTTGACGTCGTTTTCAAGAGCTTGAGCAGTCTCTGGCGTGACAAAGTCGTCTAGGGCTGTTTCCCATGACCCTTTATAAGTGGTGTCCATGTTCCCTACAGCCTCTCGCGGGAAGTACTGCGTCTGGATCTTTCGGCCGACGCCGAAGACAGAGAGAATAAGCAAAAGTCCGATAATCTTGTTCGTTGTAGTCGCGCTTTTCCTTCCCGCTGACTTTGTGGATAACTTGGAGGGCTCTTCGGCCACGCATTTGGAGATGGTGAATTCCATCATGATTAGAAGGATTATGGAGAAGATCGCCCGCGATAAGAGTCCTGCTCTAGGAGGAAATGTAGAAGTCTGACTTAGCAGGCAATCGTTGATACGCCGGATGCGAGACTGGGAAGCGAGAAGTCCATCTTGAACAACAGAGAAAAACATTGAAAGATGGGTAGAGTGAAGGGGCCATAGCCATATATCTACCAAGATGTTTGGGTAGGTTAAAACATGTCAAGGTGAAGCCGGGCATGGAATTCGGCCCAAGTGTCGTGGTCCACTCCATTCGTCACGGACATCAATGGGGGCTACCACCGGGCCAGGGAGGTTTCATAGCAAAGAAATGAACTAATTCGCGAAAGAAAAGCATACCATGGAGGGTTGGCGACTCCATCATGGGATTGGCCTGAGCCATACGGCAGGGCCCGTCGACGAAAGAGAACACCATATCTGGTAAGGCCCGGGGTGGATACAATGCGGCGACTCGGAACAGCGGCAAAATTGAGATAACAACTATTATTCGCACAGAAGGCCGGTTGAAGTATCATGAACCCATGAGATGAGGGCTAAGCGTCGGAGATTGCTGATTGCTGAGAGAGAGATCAGGGTGGCGTGCCGTCTGATGTCCTTGACAGGACGTATTGTTTTTGTAGGGAATCCGGATTAGAGAGGGCGATCCCATAGCCTGTATGGGTAACCGATGCTTGTGTCACCGGAGAATTCTTGAAATGCTCAGTGGTCAATTGAGGGTGATAGGTTTCAAAAGTTCAGATGACGTCGCAGAACAACAGGAGTTCTGGGGAGGCCAAGGCCGGAGTAAGCTGGGCCTGGACAGTGGTGGGGTACGTCTGCCGCAGAAAAACACAGCCTTTCAAGACGAAGCAGCTCGAATGTCTGAGCATCACAAATCGGTCACTGCGCACGCCCGGACTCACGTTTGCTTCCCGACTTTACTGTTCTAGGTAACCACTTCATGACTTGGTGGAGACCACGAATCAGGGCGGCCAACCTGAATACGTTCTGAGTCTTCACTTGCCAGCGCCGCTCCCAGTCTTGTCGCACACACACAAATTGTGTGTGTGTGTGCCCGAGACTTGAACAAGCAAGAATCAAATGTGCGGCCGTCCCCACGATGAGGTCAATCATATGCCGACAAGACAGTGCTACTTGATGACGGATTGAGGTAGCGATACGATAGCTTGGTCAGCTGGTAATCAGCATACACTCCTCGTGCGAAAACACCTGTCTCCAACACGACAACCGTGGCAGACGCGATGCATAAGTCTGCACCACGCTGAATTGACAGGCATGAGCCAGTCAGTCAAAGATATGTACACTCTGCACATCATGGGCTGGGGAAACCATCCTTAAGCCAGCATGCGGGCTGACTCTATGCAAAGTCGTGCACTTCGACGCTGTTCTGCAACAAGAACCAATCAGGACATGAAGTCATTTCTGGCATGCACTGACCTATGTTCTCATTGAAGGTGACTCGGGTTTTCAACATACGCGGGAACCAAGTGATTCCAGAATTGCCCATCTACATATACGCGTGCGAGCAAATTTCGCAACAGACTGGAAGTGGCTCCCAACTCGGGTTGGCTCTTTGCCTGAGATGACCAGAACCCGGAAGCCTGCAGCTGGATTCGTCGCTTCCGGTGATTATGATTCCGCCTCTTGAATCGCATCTCTTCTTTCAGTGCTTCATAAGCGCCCAAGATCATCTTGTAATGTTTCTTTTCGCTAAAAGAAATTTTTACTAAAAGCCTCCGAACGAACCACAAGCAGTTGCTCGACTTTTCATTTATAGGCAGATGAACAAACTAGTTAAACATTGCGACGGGGCAAGCAAGAGAGTCGCCAACGCCCACTCACCATGGGTGAACGCAGTGTCAGACACGGAACTCTCGGTGCCTGCCAGCCCACAGCCATACTCGAAGTGCTGCAGACTTTGTGAAAAGTCCAAACTCCGCCCAGACCATCCTTACCAGTTTGCAGAAAGGAGGCAGCTGATGTTAATATAGTAAATAATTCCAGACACATAGGTGTCCTGGAGAGCTTCTAGCCGCGAGGATTAGATCAGATCATACCTAAGTTCCCACGATGATCATGTCAATCTTCACATTATCTAACAAGCGCATCTCTTTACTAGACGCAGAAGATGGTTTTATAAGAGCGTTCATGTGATTAATTACTCACATCCGAGAGTCTCGGTATTGTAGAGGGGCAGCCCGGCTAATGATGATGATGAATTAATCATGCGCTGCAGCCAGGACGCTGTCAGTCTCGGATGCCCCTGGCGCAAGATGTACTCAGCTGGACGAGAAATCCAGGTCGACAACTTTCAAAGGCGATTATTCAAACGTGTGGCTGGGACGTGATCGGTGAACCTAAGCGGTTGCAATCGCGAAGGGCGCAGCCTGCTTGTGACAGAAAACCTAATCATCGCGTTGCCTTGTACAATCGTCCCACTCTTGCAGTCGAATTCAGACAGCTTTGGCAATGGCTTCACGTAACGAGAAAGAGGGCGTGCTTATGGTGGAACTTAATATTAAGCGAAAGGCGCTTCCCCAGAGTCAACAGGTGCCAGATACCAACAGTCACGCCGAATCGAGAATAAGACGATGGAATGCAATGCAAGGGTGTGACCAGGGATAGCGTGGCTTCTATGCATGATCCGACTCAAACAGAACCTGCGTGCAGCCAGCGGCCGGCAAACTTGTTGCCGTGGATTGCCCTCTCATTCTCACTGTCGACCCTGGCTCATGGGAAGTTGGATGACGCCCGACAGAAGCCGGCCAAGGGTACAAGTTGCTAGCTGAACGTACTCCATCAAGGATACGACAATGTCGCGGGAAGGGCGCAAGGCGCTGTCCCGCCGAGGAAATGAGCGTCGCCTGGACCGTGACATAGATTTTGTGGCTCGTCCGGCTTTGCAGAACGGCCTCTCAATGACCATCCTTTGTTTTTGTTGAGCCGCTTCGTGCAGCGTTTTCCCGGCCGGTCGAGTCATGCTGGCGTACATCACGAGAATTCAAGGCTTGGGCACGAGAAAAAACAAGGGCTTTACGCATCG